TTTTGTCAGGGGAAAGAGTCAAGGTCATGGGAAGGGGCCAGAACTGGAGCACATGCCTCGGATGCTGGGATAAGGGTCCGTCTTCCTCCGAGGGGGTGCGCGTGCAGGAGCATGTCTGCAGTGGGTGAGGAAGGAGGCCGCAAAGATGGCGGAAGTAAGGGAGCAGGAAGTCGATGAAGCTCCCTTGAGCCGGCTTTTGTTTTCTCCACAAAATCACAGGCCAAGTCGCCTTCTTGGAGCCAAGGGGTGAGCTTCTGGTTTGGAGTCTGTGGCAAGAGGAAAAGCCATAGAGGGCAACGTAGAGGGCCCTGCGCAGGCACAAGTGACAGAAACAGTGCCGGTCTGTGTGAGGCTGGTCACAAGCAATCTTGCACCAACTTGCAGTTGTGTGGTCCCCCTCCCCAGACCACACTCAGCAGCTCAGGGGTAGAGATAAAAGACACATGGGATTGAACCAATCCCCGCCCCCCCCCACCCCGCCCACTGCTTCGTGCGTGTGTGTGCATGTGCACACGAGGGCGTGCGTGCGTGTGTGTGTGTGTGTGTGTGTGTGCGCGCGCACGTGACCAGCAGCAAAGGGAGGTCCCGGGCGAGGGAGAGGTTGCAGTGGTGCATAACAGGGTTTGGGCTGAACTGGCAGGGATGAGGACAGGCAGGACGGCGAGGGCCTGGGCATGTGGGGAAATCGCTGTGCAGGTGCACGAGGGGAGGGGCTTGTCTGCTTCGCTCATCACTCTACCCTCAGCTCCTAAGACAGCGCCCACGACAGCGTAAGTGCCGGGTGGGCATCCGTGCCCCAGTAACTGAACCCACTGCCAACGGTCGGCGTGCGGCACGGCATCCCCAAAGGGGGAAGCTCACTCCCTCTCCGCAGCTGGAATGAGAGTGGGTTTTGGCCCCCCGGCCCCACAGCGATGCGGCTCAGGGTGCCACTGGGACTGTGGCGTCCTCTTTACAGGGGAGGAAAGAGCACAGTGCAGGACAGAACGCCTTCCCCCAGGAGCTCGCCCTGGTGAGCAAATGGCAGGAGTTTCTCAAGCGGGACGAAGGGCACACATCTCAGCTTCGGCAAACTCCTGTTTTACCGTCTACGATGCCCCTTCTTCCGTCAATGTGGAGATTCCAGCCCGCCACCAACCCGCTACTGGCCAACGTCCTCCCGTCACCCTGCCACGGACACTCGGGAGTTCAGCAGGGCTAGATCTGCAATGTCAGGGCTGCTCTCTGCGCCCTCTCACCCAGTGGGGGTGCGTCCAGCTCGGACGCCATCTGTGCAGATGGACCCCGGTTCCGAAGCCCCAGCCAAGTGTGGAACGCGAGGTGGACCAAGGTCATTGATCCTGACCCCAGGGCCTGTGGCCCTGATAGACTCTCTGATAAGCAATCACGGAGTTGCTTCTCCCGTGTGGAGAGAGAGGCAGCATGGTGTGGGGGGGAGGGGCCCAGGTTTGGAGTCAGACCTAAGTGCACAGAGCTGATAACTGACCAGCCACATTGGGAGGGAGAATCAGCACGTTGAACCCTACCTCCCGGTCTTTAGGAGTAATAACACTCATGGGCTGTGAAGATGTACCATCATCCGGAATAACGCATAGGTGTTTAATAATGGACACTTCCCCTCCCTCTGACCTTTTTCCTTCTTAGGTAATTATTAAGGCTCAGAAGCCCCAGTGATCAGCACTCCTGGTGATCTGACGGAGGAGGACAAGGGTCGAGGTCCTTTCTAGGCTAAATCGCGGGTCAATGAAGGCGGATTCTTAGTCCTCTGTCCTGCCATTCTGAGACCCTATAGCAGCAGGATACCAGCTTCAGGCCCTGCCAGAAGGACATGCTCAGAGGATGAAGCAGAATTCTCTGAGTTCAGATTCACGTTATTTAATCCATTTGGGTCTCAGTTTTCACAATCGGTTGAACGGAGGTGATAATTCCGCCCTTTCTCTCACAGATGTTTTAAATATGCATTACAGCAAAAGGACATATAATTGCCAAATAATAAGCCATGCTGGGATGGCGGCCCAAACTGAGATCCCAAGTGGTGCAGGGTTAATATTTCCACTGGATGAATTCCTAAATCTTGGCTTACTTTTCCGTGGTCTTTTATTGGGTGCTTTTATTCTTTTCCATGAAGGCTGACGGAAGACGTATTCTAGAGATGTAATCAATAGATGTTTAAACAAAAGGAGAAAGGCCAGGAGTGGCTGGAGAGATCGCCCGCAGGCATGCACGCGTACTGACGTGTACTGACGGCTGGGGCTCCAGCGGGCGCACTCTTGTTGAGAAAGGTCAGTGCGGGCACACAGGGAAATCGCCCAGCTGGACATGAGCCCCTTTATGGACTCCGGCATAGTCCAAGGTCTGAGTCTTTTATGAGGATAATTTTTCATATCACTCCTTTGGAGAAGATAGCCTGTGGGCACCCCTGGAAAGGCACCGAGTCCTAAGCTGGGAATCCTTCCCAGGCATCCAAGTATAAATGCGCATTCACCTGCAGGAGGGAACCCCGCCTCCTCTCTTGGAGGAAACAGACGGTTGGTGTTTTGCTGCTATGTTGCTGAGCTAGCGGAAAAGTGGGGCCTCCGGATAGCGGGGTCTGGGAGCCAGGATCTTCTGGGACTGGTGCCAAGGTGACAGCCACCCCGGGAGGTGGCTGCAATAGTTCGAGCGACAGGCAATGGGGGACTGAGTTTGGGTAATAAAGAGGAGAGGACAGGACGGGGGATGGAAGCAGCAGGGGGGATTAACGCACAGAAGAATTTGAGGAACAGGAAAGACTTCAAGGTTAAAGCCTATAGGACTGAATGGAAGACGAGGTCAAAGCTGCGAGGCACCACGGAAGGCCTGGGGAGGTCAAGATGATGAGTTTGGCTTTGGACCTGCTGAGTGTGAAGCCCTTGGGTGGCCAAGAAGTACCTGGACATAGACAGTGGAGGCTCTCCACAAAGAGCAGCTTTTGTGCTGAGCCGCAGAAGGAGCTCAGCTTGTGGGCAGCATTCTGCTGGGGGTCTGCCCCTAAATGGGGACTTGGAGAGCTTTTCCCCGGGAGTGTTCTGCCAGGTGCCTGCTGCGGTCAAGTAGGAAAATGGGTCCATTCTTGGTTCTCCGTAGGGTTAGCACGGAATCTACCTCCGTGGCTCTCCTGTGTGCAGCTGGTTTCACAGACAGAAGTCAGCCTGGAGAGCCCAGGTATCCTCAGTGGAAAACGTGTCACTTGGGCAATCTCATGGCGCCCCAAGCTCTCCTCCAAGGATCAGTTCCCCAAACCCACCGATAACTCAGCTCATGACAGACCCTTCCAAAAAAGAGCTAATATGCAAGCAGCCCAGGATTCTCTCTTCCTGGTTAATGTTGGGGAAAAAGCGGCGGGAAGGAGGAGACATCCTGATATACGGCCAGGGTACTCACCCACCTTTGATTACAGGTGAATGAAACGCTTAAATTCAACTGAGCTTTGCCTGATGCTGCCTCCCTTTTGGTGGCACTGTTACTGTTACTCTTCCATTTATCTGAGAAAATGTGGGCCACCATCAAATAGACTGTGACCTCAAGAGCACGCCCATCAGTAATGGAAACGGCCAAGATTTGCTGTGATATGTTTGCAGCTATTAAACAAGTGAAAAGGGCATTAAACCCAAGTTTAAATGTGCTCCCCCCGCTGAGGTAAAGATACATATTCCCGCCTGTTAAACGGGCCCTTTAACTCTTATTTAGGCTCTCCGATGCCTTCTGCAGTATCGGGAGAGCTATGTCTGAAAGGGCATCCCTGACCATGCTCTTGAGGAAGAACTGAACCGTGAACCGTTTGTGTCCTGCTCTTGAACTTCTGTGAACGTATTTTATAAGAACGGGGTAGATGTACTGGGCAGGAGTGTTAAGTATTCACTGGAAGATGGAGACATTCAAGATCAAATGCCTCTGCAGTTATACGCAATGAAGGTTCTGCACAGAAACTGCCTGGTGGCTCCAAGGACTGGGTGCTCCTGCTGGATCTGGACGTTCAGATCCCGGCTCTGCCCTTGAACCTGTGACAAGGCCCCCTCTCTGACTTGCCAAAACCTTCTGCAAATGAAGGTGAGAAGTCCAGCTGACCTCCTAAGACATTTGCAAATGTTGGGGTGCCCGGAAGGCTTGGTCAGTTAAGCGTCCTACTTCAGCTCAGGTCATGATCTCACTGTTCGTGGGTTCAAGTCCTGCATCGGGTGAGCTCAAGCCCCACTTCAGGGGAGCATGAGCCCTGCTTCCCTCTCTCTCTCTCTCTCTCTCTCTCTCTCTCTCTGCTCTCTCTGCCCCTCGTGGGATTCTCTTTCCCTCTCTCTCTTCGGCCTTGCTCACCTGTGCCTTCTCTGTCTCTCTCAAAAAAAGACGTTTGCAAATGTTAACCATGAGAAGCAAATCATATTCTCTGCAGTCCCCAAATAAAATAGATTAGCGAACAGAAATCTATTTTACAATAGAATAGCAAACAGAAAATGCCCATTGTTTCTGGTAATTTATCAGGCCATATCTTCCCTTCGCGGGGAACGCACTGAGCGGCTGCATTGCAACTATTCCTACTTGGGATAAACTAGGCAAGTTTCAAGAGGCCAGGTGCCACATGTGATAAAAGGGAAGAAGAGACAGACATTTGTGATGTCGCTCCAAGTGACTACCGCCGAAAACAATAATAATCTAAGGGTGTGTGGTTATAGGAGGCTCAGTCTCATTTAAGATATACACCCCCTCCTCCACAAAAAAAAAAGCAAAAAAAAAAAAAAAGGCTCTTATCTTCATTCCACACAAGCATCCTAGCACAAGAGCACAAACACGTGTGTTCGTGCACAGACACTGACATGCCTTGGACACTCATGCCCTGTGGTCACGTCTCCTGGGAATGCAGCTATATCGGAACCTCTGTCGTTGGCAATGGACCAGGACTTGATTCCCCTTTCTTGTAACCATGTTGCCCTCCCAGACTTTTCTGGACAAAGAAAAAAAGAAGCAAAAGGTTGGGGATGAACACCTACCTGACACAGAAGTACAAAACCACTGGTCCCGACTTTTTGGGGAAGTCGTGTTCCAATACTCTTCGATCTAGTTGAAGCCAGTTTAAGTGTCCCCTGAGGAGGAGAGAGACAAATTGGTTAGGACTTTGGAGTCTGCAGAAACTTCTTGTGACACAGGTGTGTGTGCCTTAGAACGGCTGGATCACAGATCAATGCAGACCTTCACCTCCCTCCCAAGTTTTCAATATTTGGAGAACCTTCAGGAATTATCTGGGAAGTACTGAGTCAGCGGCAGATACTGTGTGACATGAAGGAGGGGAATGGCAATCAGAAAGTCGGGGTTCGCGACCGGCTATCCATTTCCTCGCTGGTGCTGAAATGAAGATGTAATCATTCTCTCTCTCTCTCTCTCTCTCTTTCGTTCTGAATTCCCTTATGTAACACCACCACACTCCTCAGTGCTTCCTTCCCCGAAGGACTCAAAACCCACTTTAGAAAGCGTGAGCAAACTTCACAATATCTTGCTAGAAGTAGAACGGGGTGAGAAGTGAATCACAGACCATTTCTTTAAAAACGAGGGGCGCCTGGGTGGCTCAGTGAGTTAAGCCTCCGACTCTCGGTTTCGGTGCAGGTCATGACCTAGTGGTTTCACGTTCAAGCCCCACGTCGGGCTCTGTGCTGACAGCACGGAGCCTGCTTGGGATTCTCTTTCCCTCTCTCTCTGCCTCTCCCCTGCTCACGCTGTCTCTGTCTCTCCGAAAATTATTAAATAAGCTTTAAAAAGAAATGAAACTTACACCCACCATGACATTCTGATCCTAGGTATTTACCTGAGAAAAAGGAAAGCTATAGCCACGCCAAGACCTTCACAGACAGATGCACAGACACTTTACGTGCAACAGCTCAAAACCGGGAATAACCCAAATGTAAACCAACAGGGGAATGAGCATCATATAGTTACAGAACAGAATACTCTGCCCCAATAAAGACAGTGAGCTGTTGACATACAGCAGCATGGATGAATCTCAAAATAATGACGCTGGGTGGAAGACGCCACATAAAAGGATTTTATGTCTTTATAAAACTCCAGGAGGTGCAAACCGATCTCCAGTGACAGACGGTGCATCGCTGGTTGCCTGGGAGGTGGGAGGGAGGGCTCTTAGGGGGGCAAGAGGAAACTTTTGGGAATGACGGACATGTGCACTATCTTGATGTGATGGTTTCATGGGTGCAGCCACATGTCAAAACTTATCAAACTGTACTCTTTAACGTGTGTTTATTGCATGTCAATTACACCTCGTTAAAGCCATTTTAAACAGCGAACCACAGAGACATCTGATGACACACAAATGGAGTCGCTTGTGTGCTTCTTCCTTCTCTCTCTCTCCCTTTCGTCTTCCTTTTTGTAAATATTAATTAATCACCTTCTCTGAAAAAGGGACTGCAGATGCAGCAGTGACCCAAATAGACATGATCCCTATTCCCCTCACGATTATATTCTCGTAGGGAGACAGACAACCGCTCTTCCAATTAATTGCAGAATTACTAATCGGGATGGTATTAGGACCCAACACCTACGGTACAAGGATCATGAGTAACGAGAACATGTAAGGACCTGACGGAGTCTGGGATCTTAGAAGCACTGCCTGGCGTTTCAGTGAGACTTGAAAAACAGGAAGACTCAACTTAGCAAAGAGAAGGGGAATCATGTTCCAAGCAGTGCGGCCAGCACGTGCAAAGGCCCTGTGGTGGGAACAAATCTAACGTGTTGGGGTCCTGTGAGGAGAAAGGGATGAGGGAAGGGCCTGGGAGGCCCCGCTGAGGACAGTGGGCTTTGCAGAGTGAGGCAAAGCCACAGAGCACGTATGAGCAGAGGGGTCCACCTTTTCCTCCCCTCTCATGACCCAATCTCAGTGTACCAGCCTGGAGGACAGCGCCCTATAATCACAGTTATGCAGGAAGCTCGTGTTGAATAGACCCAACTGATACACAAAACCTCCCTAAGGTGCCTGATGCTATGGAACACGTTTATGGTACACGCGCATGTGTGAAAGGCTGGACTCACTCTGTGGATAAAGTGAGACAAACGTTGCCTGACTCAGGGCAATAAAATGTTCGCTCTTCCAAGCTTCTGCTTGCTTCCAACAAATGCAAGGCAGGCAACACGCCAGAGGTTTCCACCTCCACTTGAAGGCTTCGTTCAGGCTGCACCTTTTGCACAAAATCCCTCTCTCAATGAAGCCCATGGCCGTGGCTCGAGAGAGGGCATTTGAATCTGCTTCTGAAGAGCGTCCACCTGGGGAACTCTGGCTCTTTTCCCTCCTAAAGATCTCCACCTAGAAAAACATTTTCTTTTTTTCCCATTACCTTTACCTTTCGGTTTTGGTTACTCTTCTCTGAGTAAGGACAGAACATAATGGGGGGAAAGTTTCCAAAACCAAATGACTGGATCGACTTCTTCCAGAAAGGTGGAATAAATTCCCACCCGACTAGAACATGGGATCTGGAAACAGAAGGCCTGGGTGCCAAGGTCACACCTGAGATGCAGATAATGCCCCACGGGGTCATGTTGTTTCAAACCTCCGTGACTTAGCTCATATTGCTTCCTCTGTAGAATGTCCTTCCCCTCCTTCCTCACCAAGTGAAGGCTGACCCACCCTTCAAGACCCAGCCTTCCTGTGTCCTCCCCCTGAAAACCTTCCTTGACCCACCTTCCCACACCACACACCAGCCTGAGCTGAGCTCCCTTCTGGAGCACCCATCCTGGGCATACGAGCTGCTGTATTTTCCACACCCCACAGAACTTTCTCTGAGTATGCTGTCTCCCAATAGGCCTTTCACATCTGAAAAACAGAGACCTACCTCATAAGGTAGAAATGTGTGTGTGATCAGAAGATGTTAACACAAATATTACCCCTAATAATTGGTTCATAAGTTACAGCCACTCTCTTCCTGCCTCTGAAAGTGTCTAAAATCTCCCAGAATCTTCTCTTTAGGCTCAGTCTCCTGCAAACATGCTATATGCATGCTCTATACTATGACTCTCATTATGCTGTTTCTCCTCATTGGAATAGTCTCTCCATCCTCATTATCCGAACACTAGCCACTGTTCAAGGCTGAGTTCTGGTCTTTCAGAGAAGTCTCCCTTCGTTGCTTCAATCTGGGGTTTCTTTCAAACTTCTCCAGGGTACAGAACCCTGCACACTCTTATGCAATTATGTAAAATATATAAACCTTACCTCTAAGGGGTAAGTTTTCAACCCTTAAAAAAAAAAGTCATCCCCACCACCTAGCACAGTGCCTGACAAGTATTAGGGGCTCAAAGGCAGGTGCTCCTCGATGGGATGACTGCCACCGAAATGGGTTTGTGCCTGCAACTCAGTTTACGAAGGTGACCTAGAGGCAATGCAGAGGTCAACGCCGCTGAAAACCAAGCTGAATGTTATCCAGAGCTCCCCTGGCCATGAGAGGTACACCAGGCCACGCAGGCCCACGGTGGGTGGGGGGGAGGCCCCCGTGTTGGTTACGAGGCAGACAAGGAATAAGGAGAACTCAGAGCCTTACTGGGGTTTCCATGGGAAAGGCAAGGCAGGGCAGGCGGAATGGCTTCGGGTTGGCTGGTTTCAATGACCCTGGCAGGCTCTGAGGCATCGGGGCTGTCCCCAGCCGTCTGGTCCCGGGCCCTGAACTAATTAAGGGCAGGGGCAGTCCTGGCTCGGCGTGTGAGAGTTCTATAAAGAAGCTGGTTCACAGGGCTGGGCTCTGGGTCACAGGGGAGGTGCCAACAGCTTTGGCTGTTTGGCTCTGGAATGTATGGATGCCAAACTAGCAGAGAATCTGAGAAAAATGAGAAGAGCGATCCACCCGCCGCCCAGGCAGAGTTAAATTTTAATCTCTTGCCTGACAACAATCTGTGATCGAGGGTCTGGCAGGAGCCATCTTTTTAAACAAGGACCCTCACAAGACCAATCCACAGCCCAGCCCAATGGCTCAACATTACTGACCACACGGGCTGCCGGGGATTCGACTCGGGTCTCAGGGGGAATGAAGGATTCACCCGGTGAAGAGCCCTCAAGTGGGGACGCCGTCCATGAGGAGACACAGACGCGGGTGTTACTTGGATACGACTCTTGAGGCTGCTACCTGCCCTTCTTCATCTGTGTTAAGAGAAGACAACTGAGGAAGAGATTCCCTCTTTAATTTCATTCCTTCCATTACATTTTTTTAAGTTTATTTATGTTGAACAAGAGAGCAAGTGCACAAGGCGGGGGGCAGGGGGGAGAGGAAGAGAGAGAGAATCCCAAACAGGCTCTGTGCTGAGCGCATGGGGCCCCCGATAGGGGGCTTGAACTCACAAACCATGAGATCATGACCTGAGCCCAAACCAAGAGTCAAGACACTTAACTGACTGAGCCACCCAGGCGGCCTCACATTAAATATTTTTTTAAAGAATGGCGGTTTATTTAATTGGAAATTCCTTTCTTTGCAGCCATGTATTGATTTCGCAGTTACCAAGCAATTAAATAGCTGGAAAGTAAGAAAAACGGTCAGGAAGCAGAGAGAACGAGAAGGCCAGAATCCACCCAAAGTGAATAGTCAGCCTCTGAGGAAAAATGAACTCCTTTTCTCCATTTCTTCTACTTGAACTCCTCAACCCACAACTGAAGGATGTGTGGTCTGACGCACACACAGGCGGAGTTCTGATAACCACGGACAGGTGGAGGTCCCCGCACCCGGAGCCCTGGGACCCTAGGTGGAAGAAAGCCGGCCCACTCCATTCTAAGGGCCTGCAAAAATCTCCTCACTGCAAGCTGCTTACAAAGGCAAGACTAAAGGGACAGGTGACTCACCCAAGGTCCCTTATGATAACTGCCTGATATCTGGGCAGAAGCTAAAAGACGGATTAAAACGTAAACTGGAAACTCCAGGCCGCCATTTTGGGTTTGTGAACATATTTTCTGCTCTCGTATTTGGTTCAAAGTCACATCTGCTACAGCCACCAGTACCAAGGACTCCTCACCGTGCAGGACGTTTCACTGCCTAGGTGACACCCCACTGTCTTGGCACCAAATCCCTTCCTCAAATATTTCTTTTCTCTTGAAGTCAGGGTGGGA